TTACAAATTTTCTTCACGTCACCATGCCGTTAATTATTTTCTAGTTCACTCCCAAGTTGTTTTCATTAGTAAAATCCTCTTGTCAAAAGAAAACTTCAACAACGACCTCCACTAGAAAACTTATTTCCTTTCAACGTACTTATCATTAAATTAGGTCACTGTAATACCAATCCGAAGCAATTTGAGAGTAAAACTGATCGAGCAAACACATAATTTGGAAAACATTTGCCGACACTTTCCCAAAGTTTCTAATTATAACGTAGCTCGAACTTTTGACATAACCTTTTGATTAGGCATCCATTCAGCTTAGGATTCAAATTTGAAAGCATTGAAGATTAACAATTTCTATAGAAACTGCTCCAAACAAAGTTATTTCTGGTCACATCCACACAGAATGTCTTCGTTAGCAGGTACGTTACCACTCATCCAAAAGAATATCCTTTTTGGTTTATCATGGCTGTACGTTTCCTTTGGTGTAACTGGGTGTATTTTGAATATATTCCTTTTTTCTCGAAAGCAATTTCGAACAACGTCGTGCTGCAAATATTTCTTAGCATCATCGGTCGGAATGTTATGTAATCTGTTGATTTACTCCATTCCAACTATTTATGGTTATTACTATACTAATCCACTCACATATAACGTTCCGTTTTGCAAATTTCGTTCTTATTTCAATCATATCACTTCGGTTATCTTTCGCTTGATATTGAGTGCAGCGTCTTTCGACCGTTTTGCATTATCATCATCGAACGTCCGTTTAAGAAACTTGGCCAATGTCAAATTTGTATATCGGATCATCGCTTCGATCGTTATTCTTGCTTTCCTGGTACATATCTACATGTTGATCGTTTATAACATCAAATCTAACAGTTGTTATAATTCTCTCGATGCAGTTGGGATAACTTTAGTGAGTATTTTTGCTTTAACCAACAATTCGTTTTTACCGACAACATTAATGGTCATTTTTACAATATTTATTCGAAAAAATCTTGCAACAAGACGAGAACGTCGTCAAAGAGGTTCTGTGCAAGTAGCGAGAGTCAATCAAAACAAAGAAATTCAATTCAAGCGTGATCAACAAGTTCTCAGAATGCTATTCGTGCAGGTCATCGCATTTTTTGTCATCACATCACCATATATGGTCTATAGTATCAATAACATTATCTCTCCTTACATTCAAAATAAAAGTTCTGATCGTGTGGCAATAGAAAACTTTGTCACAGGTATCTCTGGCGGATTATCTTATGTATTTCCTGCGGTATCATTTTATCTTTATACATTAACATCAAGCTTATTTCGAAATGAATTGTATCTGATGCTAAGATCTTCGTTTTGCTTTTGTTGTCGAAACCAACATCAACACATCCAACAAATTAATTAAAAAATATGACGAGACTCTTTATGCGTTGTAGATGTTGTTTTGTAATGTGATTCACGTCTTTTTCAATTTAGTTTGTTTGAAGTCCTTATCAACAAATATAACGACATTCTTTCTCGTATTTTTTCTAACATACATGCATCAAAGACAGCGTTTGAAGTACTCACATAATACTAAATACATAATCCAGTGTTCTTTTTTTTTCTTGCCCGTCTATAGATTACTTCAAGTTTGTATTGGATATTCTGACACACAAAAGCAAGTCAATGGACGTTGAGATGTCTGACAGCAAAGAAGATTTGAAAGTATCATCTATTCTCTCACGAGACACTTTCATAGTGAAAACATTATCATCCAATATTTTGCCGCTGAGACCATCGACGATTGAAAGTATCGTGGTTGTTTGGCTAGATACCAATGCTGACAACTCGAACGATGATTATCAAAATATTCTATCACAACTTCGAACGATCGTCAGTAGTGTTCACACATATGGTGATTCCGATGAATGTATTGATTTTCTAACTGATATCCCTACTGAAAAAGTATTTATGTTTATTGCAAATCCTTCGGACAAACATATAATAACGAGTATTCATAATATTCATCACCTTGACACGATATTTGTCATTTGTGACGATGCATTAGAACATCAGCAAACGAATACAGATTGGTCAAAGGTCAAATATCTACCAAGATCGACAACAGCAGTCTATGAAACTTTTTGTCGAGTCATTAGTCAGTGTGAACAAGATTGTATTGCAATCAGTTTCATCGAAGGCAATGAACAGACAACCAATCAAAGCTTAGATCAATTAGAACCATCGTTTATGTATACTAAAATTTTTAAAGAAATCTTTCTTGAAATGGAATATGATCAGCAAGCTATCGATAAGTTTGTCGAGTTCTGGCGACAACATTATTCCGAAAATGAGTTACAATTGAAAACTATCCGCGCATTTGAAACCGCCTATTGTTCTCAAAAGACCATATGGTGGTACACACGTGAATATTTTATATATGCAGGTCTGAATCAAGCACTTCGTATGTTGGAAAGCGATGTGATACTCAATATGGGATTCTTTCTTCGTGACTTACATCATGAGATTGAACGATTACATCAAACACAGAGCAGTCGTGTTAAGAATAAGTCGTTTACATTATATCGCGGTCAAGGGCTATCGGTCTTGGATTTCGAGAAACTTACGAAAACAACGGGTGGACTGATATCTTTCAATGGTTTTTTATCTACCAGTAAACGTCGAGGAGTTGCTTATATGATGGCTGAAAGCAACGCATCAAAACCTGAAACGGTAGGCATTCTATTTCAAATGGCTATTGACCCATCGGTTTCATCGACTCCGTTTGCGATGATTGATAGAATGAGCAATTTTAGGGCAGAAAGGGAAGTTCTGTTTTCTATGCATGCTGTATTTCGTATAAACGAAGTGAAGAAGATCGAAGAGTGCAGTGAAATGTACTAGGTGAGTCTCACATTGACTGCCGATAATGACGAACAACTTTGCAGCTTAACTGATCATCTAAGAAAAGAAACTGCTGGCACAACGGGCCTCCATCGACTTGCTCTTCTACTAACAAAAGTAGGTCGATACGACAAAGCCGAAGAATTGTGTAAAGTATTAATTGGCCAAACATGTAATCAAAAGGAAAATATACTTAATTACAACAATCTAGCATACATGAAGACAAGAGAGGGTGACTTGGATAGTTCACTTTCTATTTATAAACAAATCATCGAATGTTTCGAGCAAAGTCCGTCGTTGGATCATCCCATATTAGCGGCTTCTTATAATAATATCGGCGCAGTTTATTTCGCCAAAGAAAAGTGCGCTGAAGCAATTTCGGCCTTTGAAAAAGCATTAGAAATCCGACAAAGAGTATCGTGCTCAAATTCGATCGACATTGCCCAATCTCACAATAATATCGGCGCATTGTACGACAAGAAAGGGGAGTATTTGCAAGCGTTGCAATTTTATGAAAAAGCATTGGACATTTATCGACAAAATCTTCCTGCAAATCACCCAGATCTAGCGACATTATATAACAACCTTGGCCACGTACTCGACAACCTGGGAAAATATTCTCAAGTGCTATTGTCATACCAAAAGGCACTAGAAATAGTGGAGAAATCTCTTCATTCAAAGCATCCAGACTTTGCTCAATCGTACAACAATATTGGTCTAGTACATCACCATGCAGGACAATACTCCCAAGCGCTTTCGAATTATGAAAAAGCTTTGAAACTTCGACAACAAATATTTCCTCCAAACCATATCGATATTGGCCAATCTTATATCAACATCGGTGGAGCATACGACAGGAATGGACAATATTCGATGGCACTTTCGTACTATGACGAGGCAGTTGTAATCTTCGAGCAAAACCACCCATCAAAGTGCCTCGAGTTAGCTACATTATACAACAATATTTGCGGAGTACTTGGCGAGATCGGACAACATCGGAATGCAATTTTGTATCAAGAAAAAGCACTGAAACTCGAAGAAAAGATTCTTCCGTCAAATCATCCTTCGCTGGCAACTTCTTACAATAATATAGGACTCGTGTATTATAACTTAGGAAACTGTTCGAAAGCGCATGAATACTACAAAAAGGCGTTAGAAATTCGAGAACAGATACTTCCCGTGAATCATCCAGATTTTGCTCAATCGTATATGAACATCGGTGGTGTACTTAAACAAATGAAAAACTACTCGCAGGCAGTCTTGTTTCATGAAAAAGCAATTGAGATTTTGAAAAAAACTGTTCCAACCAATTATCCAGAGTTGGTGAACGCGTATAATAATACTGGTTTAGTGTATAGAAACATGAATGACTACACGAAAACACTTTCATATTATAAAGAAGCACTCGAAATTGGAAAGAGGTGTCTCCCACAGAATCATCCCATCTTGGGTAAAACCTATGCTAATATGGGTACCGCTTATTACTACACCAAATCTTTTTCGGAAGCAATGCTCTATCTAGGACAGGCCTTGGATATATTCGAAAAGTCGCTGCCGCCCAATCACCCCGATATCCAGAGTGTGCGAAGAAATATCGAAGCTATTCAAACCAAACATTGAAGGTGTAGATGAGGCATGTCTCTTGTCCGATTGCTATCAAACTTGTCGGAACAGTTACAAGACTACCTTGTCATTTTTTTTGCTCATACAGCGAAAAAATCTTCTCTAACACATCATTTATCAGTTTATGTATGTTGGAAATTATCTTTGGGAAAAAAAGAATCTAACGATAATTGATTTTGACATTTTGTATATATATATATGTCTCTTTCAGTGTTACAGAAAACTTTTCAACATAAATAATTTATCTTCTATCTATTCAACGGCATCAAAAGTCTTTATATGATACAAGCGGGGTGTTTAAAGAAGCGTCGACACTCATTCCAAACTAAAATTCACCTGAGGGTATGAGGGTATAAAAACGTTTCCTAATTGTTATGGATATTCATGTGAAGACTGTTGTATTAAAGTCGTAAAAAAACTGAGGTACATCGGATGGATCAGTTCAAAGTTCTGATCTAGTCCCGGAAATTGTAACGAGCAACGTTGAATATCGCCTTCGCCTCGTGCGTGAATATAGAAGAAAAAGTGGATGGTGTTAAACGTAGTTTTGATGATGCGAGTATCAAACACTTACAACCTATTTATATATCATTCACTGTGCTACAACCCATCAAAGCCTACAAAGAATACAATGATTTGTTTCCAATATCACTCGGTACTCTTTTCATTTGTCATAAGTTTGAATTTGGAACAGTTCGGTATTCTACGCCGTTAGCGTCGATTGTGTAACGACTCTACCTTTGATGACTCCAGCTAAAAATAAAGATTACACAACACAGTAAAACGTCTACTATGAGGTTATACAATCATGCGCGGCGTTATCATCGTGATGTGATACATGTCCTTATCTCGGCAGGTTGTGTAATACATTAGATCTGAAAGCGCAATGACAAAGACAAAAAGAATGAACAAGTCCCTTTGTAAACATCCGATTGACAGAAAAATTGATCGTGAAATATTTGATATGAACGATCAATTAAAAATCATAAATAGTTCGTTTGATTTTCTGTAGTCTAGGCTATTTGTAGAATATCTTAAAGAGGTAAAACGAGATGACGATATTATATTTAACTTGATAGCTGCGTTCTATGGTGTTACATAATTGTATATTTTTTTGTCATCATTACAAACTTGTATCTCTGGTTTGTTGCTATTTTTACCCCATTGATTTATCATGCTGAAGATACTTGAGAAATATCTTTGATGTATATATAAAAGGCATCCGAATTCACTGACTATTCAATTCAATAGAGAAAAACGTATAGTACAATCATGCCGTCGACAACACTGTTCTTTACTGTTGTTCTAGCACTGTTTCAAACTTCTTTTGGTAGACGTAAGTGTTTCAGTCGTAGTATTCAATGAATTGAATTTGTTGATGTAGCACAACTGGTCGATATTGTTCAAACTGCTATCAATGATGGACGCTTCAATATATTGGTGACGGCACTTAAAGCGGGTGATCTTGTTGCACCACTGGAAGGACCCGGGCCATTTACAGTATTTGCACCAACCGATGCTGCCTTTGCCAAATTACCACCAGGCACCGTCACCGACTTGCTCAAGCCCGAGAATAAACCTAAGTTGATCAAAATTCTTACCTATCATGTTTTTGTCGGAAAAGCTCTCACAGCAGCAGACATCATTGCCATGAAGCCACCTTTTCAATTGGAAATGATGAACAATATCTCCACAAGAATAACATTAGATGCTGGTAAGGTCAAGGTGAATAGTGCCACCGTTATCGTGGCCAATGTCATGGCTAGCAATGGTATCATTCACGCGTTGGACACGGTTCTTCTACCTCCAGATATTGTCCAGACTGCAATCGACGATGGCCGCTTCAAAACATTAGTGACAGCACTTACAGCAGCGGATCTTGTTTCACTACTCAAAACACCTGGCCCATTCACAGTGTTTGCACCTACGGATGACGCATTCGCTAAATTACCACCGGGCACCGTCACTGATTTGCTCAAACCTGAAAATAAACCAAAATTAATCAAAATCCTATCCTACCATGTTGTGGGTAAAAGAGCACTTTCGGCTGCTGATATCATTGCTATGAATCCACCATTCAAACTGGAAATGCTCAATGGAATACCGACAACGATAACACTGAATGGAGACAAGATCAAAGTCAATGATGCTACTGTTATCGTCGCCGATGTTTTCACCAGCAATGGTATCATTCACGCGATCGACACAGTTCTTTTGCCATAAAGATCGCTGACTTAGTACTGACACCTTTTTTACTTTGCGTCTAATGTCTTAATCTAACTTATGCACAATCTATATGATGACATGAGTATTTTTTCTTTGCCTTCATATTTCGTACCAATAAAATCAATTCAATCAATATCGTACATTATGATTTAATATAATATTTGTTGATGTAAAGAGTGCCGTTAATGAATATCAATTAGATATGACAATTTCTATATGATGGTTAGTAAATATCAGTTAAAATGTGAGGATGTCAAAGTGACTACTGTCTTATCCGCGATGCACGTCCCGTTCTCACTCTCTATGACATGAAACTATGTCCGTCTAGGTATTCCACTATACCGTTGACTATGTACTGGGCCGAAATAGGTTAGAGGAGATTTATGATGTGACTGAGACGATTTCCATGTACCCATCGGTGTATAGGCATTTGTATTAGCTGGAACTGGAATTCGTGGTGATCGATAGCGTCGGCTCTTTGCAGTCGAGAAATAGGTAAGAGGGTGGATAGATCGGTTGATTTCGTACGTATCTGAGTGAGGTGAAGTATGTTTTATTTGTTTTTGAATGAGATATTTTAATTTGGTCAATATAGACTCTATTTTAATTAACTGCCAACGATTATGTGAAGGAAATTTCAAAAGATAGCTTCTATGGTCCATACAGTATTCGTAAGCTTGATCATATTGCTTTCTTTTAGCATAATAGTTTGTGAGCTGTGAGAAGCAAACTAGAGATTGTCGGTCTGGTTCGCCCGATAGATCTGTCTGAAGCTGACTAATCTTTACCGATTTGTGATAATATACAACACTCTCTTTCTCGTGGTGAAGTTTGCGATAGAGTTCAGCTAGATTAAACAAATATTGAGCAGTCGTTATGGGTTTAATATGCGCACATGAATCGGTTATCTGCAAAACTTCGTGCATATAAGAAACGGCTAATTTCAGTTTGCCTTGCTTTTCATAGGCGTCACTTGCGCGGTGCAAGCAGTGAGCTAAACTGATTTTACCATAAGGTAAATGCNATGCAACACTCTCTTCCTCGTGGTGAAGTTTGCGATAGAGTTCAGCTAGACTAAACAAATATTGAGCAGTCGTTATGGGTTTAATGTGCGCACATGAATCGGTTATCTGCAAAACTTCGTGCATATAAGAAACGGCTAATTTCAGTTTGCCTTGCTTTTCATAGGCGTCACTTGCGCGGTGCAAGCAGTGAGCTAAACTGATTTTACCATAAGGTAAATGCTGTTGACGCACTTTTACTGCTCGTAACAAACATTTAATTTCCTGTTTCGTGTCATACTGTCGTGAATAAGCCGTTGCCAAATCTTCCAAAACGTCCGCAATTGCCGGGTGATTGCCGGGTAACCATGACTCGCGTATACTGAGACATTTACGAAAATGCTCTAGAGCATTGTTGGTCGAGTTACCTTCTAAGAGAGAGATATTACCCAGAGTGTTCAATATGTCGGCCATTGCCAAATAGTCAGGGTATTTGGATTGGGTGATCAATTGAAGACTACTCTCGCAAATTTGACGTGCCCTGTCATAATCAGCAGAATCGAAATAAATATCGGCGATGTAACTCAAGCCCGAACCGTTGCTGTCTATGATCGTACACGTGTTGTGCAGAGCCATAGCAATCCTATATGTTTCAGATGTGCGTTCACGTAGTCCTTGTGTTCGTTGGATATTACTAATTGCACAAAGTACAGGAAGTAAATCGACTGGACAATATTTTGCATCGGTTTTCATATAATTCGCAGCAGTTTCCAGATGTTTCAAAGCTTCTTCGTTCTCATCTGTCTTCGTCAACGACAAGGCCAAATGATAATGAATCCAAGCTATATCGCACTGTGCTGAATCAGCGAGAAGTTGTTTGAAGTAACGGCATGATTTGTCATAGTGACCTATTTTTCGGAGAAGAGAACCGAACGTAATTTGAATGTCTTGTGTGTCTATCAAGCTGCGTTTGCTTTCCATGTAGTTGTCAGCCATTTGCGAACCTTCATCGGTCATACGCAATCGAACAAGATAGCCTTTGGGTTTGCTACGTTTAACCCACACGATTTTGAAGGTACATCCGATATCAAATAGAACTTCTTGCTCTTCGGGAAAATTCGATTCGACACTAATGTCAGTAAAAGCAAATTTGCGAGCGAGTTGATGATTGCACTCTATTTCATATACGACAGGATGCGGCTTTACATACTTATCAGAAACGCCAGCGAAAAAGTTGGCCACTCTACGACTGCGGCTTGTTGACATAAAACCATTGGGTGATATTAATTTTCCAATGTTTCGTTTTAGTTCGCTCACATCATCCGTAGACAACTGAAGCCCTCGATAAACTATTNATACAACACTCTCTTTCTCGTGGTGAAGTTTGCGATAGAGTTCAGCTAGATTAAACAAATATTGAGCAGTCGTTATGGGTTTAATATGCGCACATGAATCGGTTATCTGCAAAACTTCGTGCATATAAGAAACGGCTAATTTCAGTTTGCCTTGCTTTTCATAGGCGTCACTTGCGCGGTGCAAGCAGTGAGCTAAACTGATTTTACCATAAGGTAAATGCCGTTGACGCACTTTTACTGCTCGTAACAAACATTCAATTTCCTGTTTCGTGTCATACTGTCGTGAATAAGCCGTTGCCAAATCTTCCAAAACGTCCGCAATTGCCGGGTGATTTCCGGGTAACCATGGCTCGCGTATACTGAGACATTTACGAAAATGCTCTAGGGCATTGTTGATCGAGTTACCTTCTAAGAGAGAGATATTACCCATAGTGTTCAATATGTCGGCCATTGCCAAATAGTCAGGATATTTGGATTGGGTGATCAGTTGGAGACTACTCTCGCAAATTTGACGTGCCCTGTCATAATCACCAGAGTCGAAATAGATATCGGCGATGTAACTCAAGTCCGAACCGTTGCTGTCTATGATCGTACACGTGTCGTGCAGAGCCATAGCAATCATATATGTTTCAAATGCGCGTTCACGCAGTCCTTGTGTTCGTTGGATATTACCAATTGCACAAAGTACAGAAAGTAAATCGACTGGACAATATCTTGTATCGGTTTTCATATAATTTGCAGCAGTTTCCAGATGTTTCAAAGCTTCTTCGTTCTCATCTGTCTTCGTCAACGACAAGGCCAAATGACAATGAATCCAAGCTATATCGCACTGTACTGAATCAGCAAGAAGTTGTTTGAAGTAACGGCATGATTCGTCATAGTGACCTATTTTTCGGAGAAGAGAACCAAACGTAATTTGAATGTCTTGTGTATCTATCAAGCTGCGTTTGCTTTCCATGTAGCTGTCAGCCATTTGCGAACCTTCATCGGTCATACGCAATCGAACAAGATAGCCATTGGCTTTGCTACGTTTAACCCACACGATTTTGAAGGTACATCCGATATCAAATAGAACTTCTTGCTCTTCGGGAAAATTCGATTCGTCACTAATGTCAGCAAATGCAAATTTACGAGCGAGTTGATGATTGCACTCTATTTCATATACGACAGGATGCAGCTTTACAGACTTATCAGAAACGCCAGCGAAAACGTTGGCCACTCTACGACTGCGGCTTGTTGACATAAAACCATTGGGTGATATTAATTTTCCAATGTTTCGTTTTAGTTCGCTCACATCATCCGTAGACAACTGAAGCCCTCGATAAACTATTTTTGGCAATGTATCGTTGACTGATAACGCCATGCGTCGCTCGATGTTCTGCGAAAGATCTTTTATAAAGAAACGGAATAGATGAAGTTGTTCAACGTCCTCTGTTCGAAGTGCTTTGTTTACCATTCGATAGACAAATGAGCTTTTCGAGTACCACTTGATCGCTTCTTCGGATGTATATGTTTCATCGAACTTATTCACTGCCGCTAATTCAGTTTTGTTGCCATCATAGCATAGACGGCAGTGATTCACCATTGCTTGTTTGACCCGTCGATCGTTTGGAAGATATTCAATGATCTTTTTAAGTATTTGAAACCAGAGAAAACGAGCCGTTTCGATAGACAAATTACGAAAGTTTTTTTGATTGGCGGCGTAGAAATTAAATATTTGTTCGCGTCTCTTTATCTAGATCAATCGTTTGCGGACTAATGCCAACAAGTCATCTAGTTGTGAATATACACCAATAACCTTTGAATATTGATCAAGACGATTAGTAGATATATCTTCTTCAAGACAGAAGATAACAATAGAATCAACCTTTCCAGATGATCCTATTTGAGACAATATATCACAAGAGTATATGTTCGACGTGATCAAGATAATAATTTCTTGCGGTACTGTAGTAACGTGTGTAATACATTCGGTGATGTTTCTAGAGAAGTATACGAAATCGTTTACTTGGCGTAGACGTTCCAAAGTTGTTGATACATTAGAATGTCGGTCAGCATTCGGATTAAGCCATATTATAGCAACGTTTTCTTTGTTTTTATGTTGTTGATCTGTTGAAATGTTATCATCGTCTGATTGAAATATGCCATAGGCAAGTTTGTTTTTCAACCACGATACCATAACGTTCAGCGTTCAGTTGAAGTAAGAAAGATGAATCTCTTGCACGGAATTTTGCTGAAAAACAGAAATATCGAACAATGAATATACACAATAGCCATAAATAGTGTTTAGTAAAGTCATTTCAATACTTGATATATACGAAACTGTACTGCGTAATATTTCGAACTCAGGTATTGTACACGTCTACTCCAGAAGTATTCTAAACGTTGATGATGAAGTCAATTACAAAAAATGTTAACATTCGATCATATACATTAATGCATAAATATATTTCGTTTTTTTCCTTTTGTACAGTCTAATATGCATTGGGCTATCGTTTTATTTTCTCCTTATTGCGTCATGTGCTGGTAATAACCTAAAAGTGAATTACGTAGGCATTTTTGTTGGTAATTACCTGATAAATATGTTTTGCTCTCACTTAATTGCTGCATATACCTCATGAAAAGAGAAGAGAAGCAATGTTATAGTCAATAGACGGAAATAGTCGCGGAAGACTTGCCTATTCTCCTATTACAATCGATAGTATTCCGTCAGAAATTGTTTGTTAACGATTCCTAGCATTATTAATTTCTACATTCGCTTGAGCGTCTTGTGTTATAACAGTTATCGATCGGGAATGATAGTAATGATTTCTATAGTATGTTGTGCAGCGTTCGCTACATGTACTGTTCCTTTTTCATGTTAATGCGGTGGCAACTATGCAACTGTTAATCGAAGTATTGTCGATAAGTGTTTGACCTCGGAACTCAAGAAAATTAAATGTGGCTACACCATCACCTTGATCGTATTTCGTTCCAATTACTGCAAGGAAACGGCTACTCTATTACACCAACGCCAAGGCACAGGCAGTTCGCTGTCGTCTGCATACAAATGAAGAGTGAGAAGCAGCCGGTTGTAATTGCACAGACGAAACAAGATCGAGAGTGAAACTGCATCGAAGAAGATTATGTGACTGAGAAAGATATGGAAATGCATGAAAGACATTAGCATCTTCGACAATTAGTCTTCTTAGCACTACAATGTAATTGTATTGTATGGATATAGCTATCTTCAGACAAAACTTTATCAAAATATAAGCATAACATCTCGAGAGATTCTTTTTTACAAATGAAAACAGAAAGATATCAGTTTGAAAATATCTTTATTTGACTTCGATAAAGATGTTAATACGTAAATCAAAAAGGAGAATATAAATTAGGCATTTCGTATTCGCCATAATCGTAAAAAAATAAGCTTCGCCGAATTCAATTTGTCTGTATAAATGTTAAAGGTTTTAAAAATCATATCACGAGAAATCCTTGATTTTGACTGTAACTTGATAACACAACACGAGACTGTACGAAGTAACAAAAACCGTGAAGAATAATAGCCACACTCGATGCTTAAATGTAATATGAATAGATGCATTTAACTTCGCTTGTTCTTTAGACAGGATTCGTCGATTCTTATTACGGTCATTAGTTGTATCCATACAAATACCAACAAGACAGCATCGATGATAACTTTACACGAATTGGTATTGACCTGGTTGCTGAGCGCAAAAATGGAATTTTGTGCAAAGTAATTATCGATGATGTTTGGTCGACAAAACCACCGGAATCAGGTAGAAAAAATGAACCGATAAGATCCGACAAGTCTCACTGCAAGGATCAATATAGCTCTCTTTCAAACGAGACATTCTCATGTGACTATTTTGCCAAAGTGTGTTTGTGCGGCTTACCTCAACTTTTTGATTATTCATAGAATTGACGATGCAATCACTACGATTCATCACAACTATTAATATCGTGCTATTTCTTTACCTGTCCATATCCATCACCAACAGTAACGCGATTGAGCTCATGCGTCACGATAAAAATGAAATTGTCAATCGAGGAGTAGAACGAGAATCAACAGCAAAATCAAAAGATATTTGTGAAAACGCTCATTTTTGAACTTTTCAGCGGGTACAGGCGGTGATGATCATAACAGCAATTCTCAGTGTACACTTGTTTAGAAATGGATATGAAAAACATGTGATGAATACTTTGTGAGGCATCACTTGCGTTTTTCTTCTTCGTCGTCAATTATATTTCGATAACTATAGGATTATGAATATGTGCACAAGTAGTGGTTAAAGATGTGATCGAGCGAGTGAGCAGATGAAAAGTTGAATATGAGGAGAAATTATTGATCCAGCGGATAATAACTACAAGTATTGTCGATGAAATTGAAAGTTTGATAATAGAAGGTTGTTGACTGATTATTATAGTCGCTTGAATTTGATAACCTAGAATACAATCTAATGATATAGTTGACGTTTTATGTTGAAAATTGACACCATGTTTCAAAATAACGTTGAATATATAGAATCGTCTACAAAGTACTGCCGCTAATTTTCGCACACCCTCACACATCGGTACCGCACATCTGAGGTATAAGTAAGAGTAAGTGTTCTCTTACTTGTGATGTACACTCTCGCCATCACCCCGAACATGGTATTTGCCTCTGAAATACGCCTGAGAGATAGTTCAAAGAATTATTCCCTTTTCTGAAAGAAAGGGTTATACAGCGTTTAAATGCTGTGTTAAAAAGCTTAAAGTTTGTCTGTCTGTCTGTCTGTCTGTCTGTCTGTCCTATCCAATCAGAAATCAGCATTTCTAAAATCAATGAAATTGATCCATAGTTGTTAGAAAATGACTACCTATAGGGTAATCGAGGTCGGGGAACTCCAATCTGAGATAAGTTTTAACTAATTATTAACTATTAATTAACTATCTATCAACTAGACATAGATTATTAATATACAGGGTAAGGGTCGACCGAAGGGTAATCGGGGTCGAGGATCTCGAATCCGAGGTTAGTTTCTCGAAATTCCAATCAGCTCATTAGCTAATTAGCTAATTAAGCGATGAAAATTTTCTTCGTTGTCGAGTAAGGGTCGACCGAAGGGTAATCGGGGTCGAGGATCTCGAATCCGAGGTTAGTTTCTCGAAATTCCAATCAGCTCATTAGCTAATTAGCTAATCAAGCGATGAAAATTTTCTTCGTTGTTGAGTAAGGGTCGACCGAAGGGTAATCGGGGTCGAGGATCTCGAATCTGAGATTAGTTTTTTTTTATCGTGGAATAAGTGAACAAGTCAGTTCTTAGGTATAGCACTACTGATAGGTAGAAGATATTAGGCAACAGCGAAATTATTGGTTCAATATTGTTGAATTGGAGTCCTGCTGTTTGATTCACGGTCACAAACAAGGATTTTTTTACAAAAATGCAAGGATGGTGGGAAATGAAAATAGTCGTGGAACTGAACATATCATATTCTTATGGTCATAAAGCCTTTTAGACTATCATGAATACCGATAAGTGTTGCTATTTATATTAAAAACTCGTTTTTTTAAATTTCGTCATGGTTTGTATCGTGTCTCCTTTCTAAGATAGGTTTCGCGTTTGAGTTCACGAGTATAGCTTGATAAAACAAGGCATATTTCTACATTGCTTCGAAACTCTGTAGAATTGGATACTGTATTTTTGGCAAATATTTTGAGATTAATAGAAATAGCGACAATGCGTAAAATTTTAACTATAATGTATTAATAGAAAGCGTTGATTAAAGCAAATAGACAGAAACTTGCTACAGTTGCATAAATGAAAATTACAAGCGTAGAAAACAAATTCAACTCCGTTGTGAAAACGTTTACAGTTTTTTAGCCATAGAAGTATGCTTTTTGCAGTTGCATTAGTTGGTTGTGTATGATAATGGTTTTTTCTATGAAAAAGAAAATCGATACATACTATTTCGTTACTGTGTGCTTTACATGCGAAAAAGTGTACTGTTTGATGGTATATACCTTTGTAATTGGTGATGGCTTTTGGCGGACAATTTTTTTAATTTTATTATTAAATTGGGACATTTCGGTGGTTTTAGATTCATTTGACTCCTTTTGATTATGTTGTTTGAGTTGATTTGTTACACATGATGAGTTGCGATAGGGTGCTCTCAACAATGCTGCTTGTTTGCAAACCATTCTAAATAATTTTGTTTGTGAGGCAGCAATAGTTTTCATTTTCTCAAGAAAGGAACAGGAGTTAATTCGAATTAGCGATAGCTTTTATATCTAGAAATGTACAACAAATGATTATTTTTGCCTCGTTCGAAAATATTAGTTGTTGAAAGGAAGAAAATTTAAGAGTGCGTCGCNTCGTGGTCGAGGATCTCGAATCTGAGATTAGTTTTTTTTTTACCGTGGAATAAGTGAACAAGTCAGTTCTTAGGTATAGCACTACTGATAGGTAGAAGATATTAGGCAACAGCGAAATTATTGGTTCAATATTGTTGAATTGGAGTCCTGCTGTTTGATTCACTGTCACAAACAAAGATTTTTTTTACGGAAATGCAACGATGGTGGGAGATGAAAATAGTCTGGGAACTGAACATATCATATGCTTATGGTCATAAAGGCTTTTAGACTATCATGAATACCGATGAGTGTTGCTATTTATATTAAAAACTCGTCTTTTTAAATGTCCGCATGGTTTGTATCGTGTCTCCTTTGTAAGATAGGTTTCGCGTTTGAGTTCACCAGTATAGGTTGATAAAACAAGGCTTATTTGTACATTGCTTCGAAACTCTGTAGAATTGGATACTATGTGTTTTTGGCAAATATTTTTATATTAATAGAAATAAAAGTAGTGACAGTGCATAAAATTTCACGTATAAGATATTAATAGAAAGCGTTGATTAAAGCAAATAGACAGAAACTTGCTACAGTTGCATAAATGAAAATTACAAGTGTAGAAAAGAAATTCAACTCCGTTGTGATAAATTTTTACAGTTTTTTAGCCATAGAAGTATGATTCTTCCAGTTACATTAGCTGGTTGTGTGTGATAATGGTTTTTTCTATGAAAAAGAATATTGAAACATACTATTTCGTAACTGTGTGCTTTACATGCGAAAAAGTGTACTGTTTGATGGGAGATACCTTTGTAATTGGTGTTGGCTTTTGGCACACAATTCTTTTTATTTTATTATTAAATTGGGACACTTCGGTGGTTTTAGATTCACTTGATTCCCTTTGATTATGTTGTTTCCGTTGATTTGTTACACATGATAAGTTGCGATAGGGTGCTCTCAATAATGCTGCTTGTTTGCAAACCATTCTAAATAATTTTGTTTGTGAGGCAGCAATAGTTTTCATTTTCTCAAGAAAGGAACAGGAGTTAATTCGAATTAGCGATAGCTTTTATATCTAGAAATGTACAACAAATGATTATTTTTGCCTCGTTCGAAAATATTAGTTGTTGAAAGGAAGAAAATTTAAGAGTGCGTCGCTCCGCTAATCCGAATTTATTATTGGATCTTTTGCTTTCTTGGAAGCACACGGAAAAATTCAAACGTTAAGGATCTTCTTGCATCGACTAATTTTGTTTCTGTATAAAGTTCGTAAAAAATAAATCTTTGTAAGATACCAATTGAAATTTACACAGTAATGAATTCGAATTCAGTTGATAATGTTTATAATTATATGACAATAAGAAGATAGCCAGTGAAAAACGTCGAACGATTGATTTTTCTTTCATTCGCGTAGCGATTGTTCCCGTGCAAAAACAGAAAAAATAACTGAATAAAGAAGAATTAATAACTTAAATCGAATTGAACGAAAGTTCGAGGTTGTTTTCAATAAAACTGCACAGCACACACATAAGTATTCAAAGGAGACAACTACAAATATGCTAGATATCTATGTAAAATTGTTAAAGAGAATCAAACGTGCTCAAACAGCGTCATGATGTCACGCAGAAGATTCTCTTTCTTCGCTCGGACGACGTCTATATTCATTTAGTATGACAATTGATGAAGTTTTATTACACAGTAACGCGATCAAGATGATCGCTGCAGCCGCACATATGATTGCATACAATATATAATTGCTCCTAGAACAAACGAAAGTGTTAAAAAAAGAAATTTATGGTGGCGACATGACTGATATATTGAACGCACNCTTTAACGGATCTTCTTGCATCGACTAATTTTGTTTCTGTATAAAGTTCATAAGAAATAAATCTTTGTAAGATACTAATTAAAATTTACATAGTAATGAATTCGAATTCAGTTGATAATGTTTCTAATTATGTGACAATAAGAAGATAGCCAGTGAAAAACGTCGAACGATTGATTTTTCTTTCATCCGCGTAGCGATCGTTCCCGTGCAAAAACAGAAAAAACAATTGAATAAAGAAGAATTAATAACTTAAATCAAATTGAACGAAAGTTCAAGGTTGTTTTCAATAAAAATGCACAGCACACACATAAGTATTCAAAGGAGACAACTACAGATATGCTAGATATCTATGCAAAATTGTTAAAGAGAATCAAACATGCTCAAACGTCGTCATAATGTCACGCAGAAGATTCTCTTTCTTCGCTCGGACGACGTCTATATTCATTTAGTATGACAATTGATGAAGTTTTATTACACCCTCACACGATCAAGATGATCGCTGCAGCCGCACATATGATTGCATACAATATATAATTGCTCCTAGAACAAACGAAAGTGTTAAAAAAAGAAATTTATGGCGGCGACATGACTGATATATTGAACGCACGTTATGGAATATTCTTCAAAGAAAGCACATTATCAGTACTTACTCAAATCCGAAAATTGAAATGAAAGTACATGAACAGTCAGAGAAATTCGGTTAGGCTACTTTCTCTATGGTAACCATATTGCTTAACATATTTGTATGTAAAACAAGATGGCTATTTGTCACTAATTATTTTCTTTTTCTTTAGTTCACACATTTTGTCCGCGTACACATCATTCCGTCTATATCGTTTAAGGAAGTCATTGGCCCTCTATGTGTGCTCTTTAACATGTTCTTTTTCTTCAAAATGGTCAGGAACTATACTAAGTCTTTCTAATCATATTTACATTGAAAAAATTGCATTCCAAATGNTAAAACAAGATGGCTATTTGTCACTAATTATTTTCTTTTTCTTTAGTTCACACATTTTGTCCGCGTACACATCATTCCGTCTATATCATTTAAGGAAGTCATTGGCCCTCTATGTGTGCTCTTTAACATGTTCTTTTTCTTCAAAATGGTCAGGAACTATACTAAGTCTTTCTAATCATATTTACATTGAAAAAATTGCATTCCAAATGTCTCTTATTGTCAAAAAAAACGGACTCAGAACAATCTAGCTGTAGGCGTGAGATTTATTCATATGACTGTTGGTGATAACTGAAATAAATTGTCCTGGCGCGCTCTTTCTCTCGAAAATTTATGCTCAGAATGTTGAGTCGCAGTGTCGAATATGTCACGTGCTCGCGTGGCGTTTTATAGTTCAGTTTTCACGATGACAAAAATTGTATACATTATCGTATAAATCTTACCAATTCTTTTGTATGTCATTGATGAGATAGAAGGGTGCCGTGATAAAATTAGTGCCATCTTTGACAGTATTGACTATTTTCTGTCGAAATGTATCCACAACATTTTCAGCTTTGGGTTGTCGCGATTCTACAGTTGTGTTAGCAATATTCCTCTCATAACGAATATGAGACATATTATTGACGCGATTTACATAGGAAGTATCTTGTTTGGTTCGTTCACTGAGTGCCAAATAAACTATTGATTGTAGAATGTGACTGAAATGCATATGACGTTCGTGGCGATTAGAAGAAAATGTGGAGAAATGTGAAAGAAGCTAGCGGTGAGACGAATATTTATACTTCTCGTTGCAGCGTTCATAAGAGGATAGTCTGTGTTTTCGTTTGAAAAAAAGAATAGGTATGTTGAATATTCGTAGTCAACACCTCTTTCAACTTTTTTTTAGCGGTATTATTCCATACGAAAATTACTAATGTATGTTCAATGTCTGCCAGTGAGTATCATTCGTGATATTGAAAGATCAAACGGTAAAATTCAAACATTAAGAGGAAAATAGATTTTATCGACGATCAAAGAATTCAACCGCCGATGAGTAAATGTTTACTATCAATATAAGTGATGACAGGTAGTAAACACACTGCGATGACAAAAAAAGATAAGGTGAAACTTGTAGGAATGGGAAACTAAATAAAAATAGATTGAAATTCCATATTTTACGTATAAGAGAAGCAGCGTATGAAGGAATATTGATGTAGACTTAAATTGTTGGTGTGTAGATATCGGTTGCTGAGGTATCGTTATATCAATACTCATGTCTCATGGTTTTACGATATCGTTGTTTCTCAATCAATGACATTCTCGCAAGGCTATGATATATATGTACACGAACAATATGAACATTTCACTGCCGCAAAACGAAAGAAAGGCAAAAAACAAGCGAACAAACAATTGATTTGTCTTTGTCAGCGGGTGGTTTGATTGTAAAGAGAGGCTATATTGTGACAAGGGCGATTGAAATAATGTACAACATTGACATGATATTGGATTACTTGCAGATATACCCTCACCCTCACTCACATCCTCAAGATGGAATAGTTTGCTCGAACTTGATATTACCCTGAAATTTTCATTAACAATAAGGCTATCCAGATCGTCAAACACGTAACCAAATTCATAGAGAATTGTTTTCTTTACTGTTCTTTACTCTGTTAGAAGTGCCTGTCTTGAAGATAATGATTTTCGTGCAAGCATTTACAATTTTTTTATAAGCACCATAGGTGATAATCCTTTAATTACAATTGTTTTTATACATAAGCATCAAAGACCGAAATAAAGATTTTTTTCCAGCCAATCAAAAAGAAAAGAAAAGAAAAGAAAAAGATGAGCACCAATCATAACAGTCCATTGAAAAAACATTGTTCAATCGATTCGTCGACTGAAATAATACAAGCCGAATATTGCCGGTAGCTCTGAATATGAAAAGTCAATTTATAATTCTCATTCTAAACGCAGAATTTATATTTACCAAGAAAATTTTCCATAATATTTTATCAAATAGTTCTCTGCGTTTTTCCGTGTCCAGNAAGAAAAGAAAAGAAAAAGATGAGCACCAATCATAACAGTCCATTGAAAAAACATTGTTCAATCGATTCGTCGACTGAAATAATACAAGCCGAATATTGCCGGTAGCTCTGAATATGAAAAGTCAATTTATAATTCTCATTCTAAACGCAGAATTTATATTTACCAAGAAAATTTTCCATAATATTTTATCAAATAGTTCTCTGCGTTTTTCCGTGTCCAGCTGTTTTGAAGAACGCTAGCAATCTTTCTAACGGCTGTACATTCATGAATCGCATATTGACGGAGAATCAATCGACGCTTGTTGTCGTTCAATAGATTGATGACATCTTGATTATGACGATTCGGATGTGGTTCGCAATTCGTATGCAAGTACGCAAAAAGTCCTACATTCCAATCACGACAATCAGAAACTGATGTGTCGAAATATTGTTGGAACAAGAATGCAAAAGCTTCTTCTATTGACCATTCTTCAGACCGTGCACCATATACTTTCATATTGATACATTTTTCTTCAAACCAACGTCCAAATTTTTCTTTTATGCTGACCGCTTGGAGCTTCTCAACTTGATGCTTAGTGAATAAAGAACACTTCAAAAAATGATATAAATCTGACTTTATATCATCCCACGATTGTATTTCATTCGACTGTGATAAAATAACGGAGAACAAACGTTTTAATTGATGATGTAAACAATGATCAATCTCTGGTAAATATAAAGTTTCAACAAGAATAGTGTGCAATACAAACTTATGACCAAATAAGATTTGAATTAACTTTGGACACCCATTGATTTTGTCATACTTTGTTTCAACAACGAATTCGGTTTTTTGTTTGACAAGGTCGATCAATTCGGTGATTGTTTCATTTTTTGTTAAAGTATTGACATAATAGAATTTTCTTGGTGCCGTTGGTTCAAATTTAGTTAAGCTTGTGAGATTTCGAAGGATAAATCTTCTCGAATCCATCTTGTTCGTAGATTGATAAGAGGGTAATCGTAAATATTCTGGAAAATATACTTAGAATGAGTAATCAAGTTCAAACTAACATCGAAGTCAGAAGCTACCAAGAAATAAGCAAAGAGGATTCAAAGTATACGCAAGCTAAATCTGTGTGTCAAGCTTATCCAAGCTTTAAAATGTAACTGCAATGAAATAGAATACACAGTCACATATATATGTGCTTGAGAAGGAATTAGCGCGGAAGAGATGATCAATCAAGAATAAGGAGGAACGGGAAACAATGATCAATAGAGAATATTGTTTATGTTGATATATCAAAGGAGTTCAAAGTGAAATAGAAGCCGAATAGGAAAGTGACTACATGTAGGTTCATTTGGAGTGTTTACATAGCGACGTATCATCAACAGCTTATTATCATACGTTTTTACAATACAGCGAGCGAGAGCTGTGCTAAAGATTGAGTGCTGAAATTTTCAGCGTCTTCTATTTTTGAATTTTCAAATATAACATATTCGTTAGGTCTCGAATATCATTCATATCACGATATTCAATTCAGTGAACAACATTAAATCCGAAGAATCATTCGCTGTGTTTCGACTAAATCGTTATTCCATTCTTTATTCCTATCGTTGATTTACGATGAAATAAAAAAAAGATAATATTCGACAATTGAATTACATATCGTTCGATGTAATGCTTGAACTAACACATCG